CAGCCCAACTCTGCAATGTTCTTGGAGAAACTCCATGGTGTTCTGAGCTCCAGGGGCCAGATCTAGAGCCCTGAATCACCTCAGGTCAGCATCCCTCCAGAGCTGCTCAATGGAACCCCTGAAGGACTCAAAGCCTAACAATGGGTGGGCACCTTTCCCACCACACTTGAGAGGTGACACTCCCAGAAGTGGATGGGCAGAATAAACCAATAAGGTTGTCAAAGAGGCCTGGAAAACAATGAACTTTGCAGGCATCTCAGAACAAGCAAAGGTCAGATTTCTCACCTTCCTCTCTGAAAGAAGCTAAATTTCATTGCATTGAAATGAAAGGTTTGTGTTTCATTCATAGTCAAAGGAATCATCATGAAAACTCTTATATTCTCTTATCATTTAAAGTGAATATAGGTTTTAAGAAGCCTGTGTAGTTTTCAACACTGTCCCCATTTTCTAGGTGGGGAGGACAATGTGAGAAACCACAAGAAAAAAAATGAGAAAAACCATATACTAACCCTTTTGAAAGCTTTTATCGGAATTCCTCTTTTTCCACTTGAGTATTCTTCCTATTTGTACCCTCCTCTATTACAGAGTCCACAGTAGGTATTGCAAAAAATTAATGGGCTTTATTACTTTGTTCCACCCATATTTTTTACATCATCATCTCTATTACACAAAGTAAACACTTCTCACTTCATGTCACCTGGAAAGTTTGAACTTGTCAGGGATCAAAAATTAGAGACTTCTCGATTGGTGAGCCTGGCACAGTAATGGACAAGTTATTTAGCTATATTACAAACTGGTTATTTCCATTAATTCCTCCTTTTCCTTTTTATACCCCATTAGTTGAGTTCAGCCTTGAACCAGTCCATCTTCCTATTTAGGCCTCATTCATCTCTGTGGATGTATTTAATTAAACAGCAACCAAAATCTTCGTGGATTGCCTGGAACCTTACACTGGATTTTATCTGTCAGGTAAAAAAGAGTATTTGGAAAGGAAAACACTTTCCACAAGCCAAGTCAGATTGCCCATTCTAAAGAGACACAAGGTACTCATGTGGGATTTCATCTCCTTTTCATTTGCTGATTGAAACACTATCTTTTACTGCACAGATTAAAGGGTGCTGATGAACAAGCAAACACTAAAGGAAA